AACCGCTGAGACACATCTTGGAATACCTTTTGCAAGGCTTTTGCACGAATGCTTGCCTCAAAATCAGGAGCTTTTTGTGCCGCGTTTAGAGGAAATTCTTGTTTGCCTGATAGAACGATTTCACGTCCGAAGGCAACGAAATTGGGGGTTAGTTGAGTAACCTCGTGGCGTGCTGAACGCAACGCACAGGCAACTTTGGGGAGGTATACATCCCATTATCGGTGGTTATCCGAGGCTGAAAGACCTAATTTTATTTAATACCTGTGGTTGGTTTTTTAAATAAAAATTGGTACTTGAATGATCTTTAGAAATACGGAACTCTAGTAGGTTGCTGCATTCCTATACTTTGTGGCTTCTGTCTGGTTTACTAGTAAAGTTGGACATATATTTAACATTTTAAATCATTTTTGTAACATTAATAAAATAATTTGTTCATAAAATTTAAAAGAATAATATTTCTTAAAATTTGTTCACGAAAAAGATAACATTATTGTTTTTAAAAAGTAGTCAATTTTTTTTTGTAATCACAACTTAATGCTTATTTTCAATTTGCATAAGTTTTTGTATGCTATACATCTATGGAAATACGTTGTTAGGATTGTTAAGTTAAAGTGCACTAATACTATTCAATAAACAATATTTCACGCAATAGAGGGTTAAATAAAAAATAAAATTTAATGAAAAGAAGAAAATTATTTTGAATGCGAACGATATTTATTGGATTCACTTCCAATACTTGTTTGAACGCCCAACTCGAGTCGGAAAAGTTGCAACGCTCGGCTTCTGTTTAAATACACCGTCCTCTACTCACTCTACTCGGTCCTCTATTTTTAGCCGCGGCCACTACCCTTTTAATATAGGGAAATGTTACTTTTTATGCTTGCCAGTAAAAGAGACTTGTTGCCTTTGATATTTTAACAATGTCTCAGTTGAATTTGCAATTTGCAAACGTGATTTTATTTTGTCATTAAATAGCCATTCATATACTTTATTTAAATTTATATTTGGGCCAACAATTACGAAATAACTTTATATGGCTTTTGTTTTTACGGCATCATAATTATTATTAGTAAAAATTAGAATTTTGCCAGAGATAACGGCAAAATCAATGTTATTTTTTGGCAAATGTTTACATAGCAGCTCACGGCACTGACCTTCATATTAATCTGTATAAGGAAAACCATCAGTGGCGGCATGTTGTAATTTAAAAAGAGTGTTAACTAACCCCCCTTAATTCCCATTTCCAATCAGATTTTTTTCAAAATCAATAGGCTTCATACCTTTATTAACCCATTAGCGCCGGAATTATTTTTTTTATTAGGGGGTTTTCTGTCAATAAAAGGTATGTAGGGGGCATTTTAAGATTTTTCTAACTAAAACTTTTTTTTTATTTTACGGTTATAGAGATTTTTGATGTGCCCATACAGCGACGCTGGGCGCTTACGTATTCACTTTTTTCAAAAAATAAAAGACACTTGAAATAAACAATATTAAATTAGAATAGTTTAATAACAAATAAAACACAAATTTATTGAACAAAATACAAAATTATTAACGTGTATGAAATAATGTGAAACATTGTACACAAAGGCCTACTTGGAACAAATTCTTCTTGGAATTGATTTGCAAGGCTTATATCAAGACTGAACCAAATGGTCCATCCAATCAAAACATACTACATCTGACACTTTGCTGTCAGTTGTGGAACCAGGTGCAGAATATGGTCTTCCTGTTCCTTTTGGTGGGACTTTTTTTAAATAAACACTGGCAACTGCCCTTCTAAACTGTAGTTGTGAAATGTTTGCTAAATGAGATTTATTATACGAGATCCAGCTGTTTTGAATGGTTACGTCAAACAACCAAGTCAGTATAGGCCATTACCATTTTTTTTTCTCTGACTCCAATCCGATAACAATTTATAATTTGGTCCATTTGGTCCGACCCCCCATATATTTATTATATTCGGCTATAAGTTTGGGTCTAGGAACCATAATGTTTCGCCTTTGTTGCTGCGAATATCTTTTAGCTTGACTTATTTCTAGAGATCCACAAGATGAAGAGATCATGGTAACTACGGCATTATCCATCCACCGGACGAATAAATACCTACTATTTTTTTCTAGAGCTGTTTTAAAATATCCAGAACCTTTTCTTTTAAAAAAATTTTTTGATGTCATGGGACAATCTTTTGGTAATCGATTATCACGAATCGTGCCTAAAGCCGATTATTCATAACATGTTAAAAAGGAAAATGAAGCAGATCCAGAGAATAGATTATCCATGTAAAGCTTATATTTCAAATATAGATCTGCCTCTGGAATTTCATCCAGTAAAACAATAAGTGGGCTAGCTGCTTTGCCAAACATTTTTTCATATAGATTATAAAGAGATGCTGGCAGATTATGACGAGTTTTAGAATATATAACGCTTCATAATGATAACTACACTATTTCTGCATCTCATTATAGTCTATAATTTCTGTTTATTATTAGCTAAAATTTTTTAAAAAGTGTAAGAGGCTAGAACACTTATGATTTTAGGCAGAGATAGTCTAGTTGTCATTAGGAAGCCTTAAATATTTTATAACTTGTTATAGTGTGGCAACATCTCACTATGGTTTATAATTTCTGTTATTATTATAAAATTATATTATATAAGATTATTGAAAAAATGCTAGAGACTAGAATTCTTTGGGTTTTAAGGCAGAGAAAGTCAAGTTACAATTTAGAAACTGTAATTTAGAAGTATTATGTGTCCTAGAAGTTGTTATAATATGATAGCATTTTACTAACGTTTAGAATTTATATGTATAATAATTATTTACAATTATTATAAGAGGGCCAGAGCTATAAATGAATTAATTCAGCTATATAAACTAACAAGAACTCTAGAACTATTCGTAAACGGTCGATATACAGTCTGCTTTTTTATTCTATTTAATTTATTGTACTCGTATTGGGATGCTAACTTCCGGCCGTTAGCATCTCATTTTTAAAATTGCAGTTTTCGGCACTAAATTCGACAGAATTAATAATAAAAAGTATCGGGAACTATAGAACTATATCGGATGCCATAAGAACTCTGCTTAAAATATGAGATACTGAGATTTCACACACGTGGTAGCAACTCTTTAACTAACATTAAAACTCTATAAAAACTAAATTTTCTTTTCTAGTAAGTTAAATTTAATGTATAAATATTGTTGTTTGTAAGTCAGGATCTATGACTGTAAAATTTTATAATATAGAAACTTGTAATAAAATAAACTACACTCCGTAAGATACATATTGTGACTAGTTTACAATAAATATTATATTTAGACATAAATACATTATTTTACTTACATTAGAAGCTTTATAAAGACATTGAATTGAGTTCTCCCTGTTTTATATTTGATTTGTATCCTGTTTTACAATCTGGAAAGACGTAAATCTTGTTTTGATGTTTTTGTCACTCATGTTACTTATACTAAGGTACTTTTTCACATTATTTTAATACTTTTTACCAATTTTTGAAAAAATTACTTTATTTTACATTGACCTACATAGAAAATTGACACCGCTGTTATTCGACATGCCAGCTGCAGTCAGTTTCGCAAACTTTATGAAAATAAGGACGGAAATTTAAAATTTGACCATTTACGGTTCGCCTCCTTCTCTCTAGTCTTCATAAATGTAACGACACTAACATCAAAATAATATATTTAAAGATCAAACTGGCAGGTTTAACAGTTATATAATAACATTAAATTAAAATGAATAATAAATTAAAGTACGAAGCCAACAATCTCGTTGAAATTGGCTTTCAAATTAAGAAATAAGATATAGAAATGAACTCGTAGTGATGCAGTGATTTATTTTAGGTGAATTTATATAATTGTGACAACCCAGTTTGGCCCAAAACTACGACAATATGATCAAACTTGATGATTATTATTTAGAAGAATACTTCCTACGCGAGTATTTCATGAGATAAAGGGTTGGTAACAGAAACAAATACTACCAAAGTAGTCAATAAGTATAGAATAAGAAGGGAAAGGATTAGAACTAGTAGTAATTTACAGGCAAAAATTAAGACGGATTTAAATAATGTACGAGCTATTTATTTTAAATGTAGAAAAGGCAATTCAAAGTCCTGGTTCTATTTATTTGAGCCATTTGTCTACAAAAGATGGTTCTACGAAGAACATTGCATCAACTATTTTATCTTACTTTAATGAAGATGACATTTTCCTCTAACAACGTGATGTCGTTGGCTGGCACGTTAATACTAATACCGGATAAAAAATAGTGCTATTTGATAAATTGGATGACCATTGCAAACGGTTATTTTCTTACTATATTTTTAATATTTAGAAGGGATAACAACTGACCCAAGATCATTTAGTAGACCGATTAAGCAGAATTTCAAAAAAATTAAAAATTTGAAAAGTTTTCCAATATTCAGACGTTTTGTGCAATAGGACAATTTGTTTTAAAAGTAGTGTTATTTTTTGCCAGCTATTTAATACTAGTACTAACAAAAGTACAAAATCTACAAGTTAAATAAATACGAAAAAATTGTCAAATTCAAAATTTTTATAAACCTTCGGCGTTTTGCGTGAACGATTTGTCTGATTTTTTTTTTGGTATGATAATATATAAATATGTACCTAATGCAACTTTTCCATAGTATAGAGAATTTACACTATTTATTTGACTTCTTTCGCAACACCCTAATGGAAAAATCGGTCAAAATCTTAGAAAAGTCAGATTATGCTACATTCATTTACCAGCTAAAAACTATTAGGCAACCTTAAAAATTTAGATAGCGGTAATTTTTAAACCGTCTTTTTCATATTTGTTTAATTTATCAAAATGTAAATACATTCGGTATAATTACGTAGGAACTCAGTTGCATTAATTGCAGCAGAGTACTCTCATGCGAACTATTTTCCATCAGTCTTGTCCCTTAGTCTATTTTTGTAATATTCGATTAACTAAGATAGAAATAATAATTACCAATTGCTCCCAGCCTTAAATAGAAACTTCCGTATTTTGGTGCCAGACTGGGTTCCTTTTTAATTAGATCCATTTTTTCTTTGCCTACAAAATCAGATAAATAACAGTATAAAAATCGTAGATATTTGATTTAAATATGATAATAAAAATTAGACAATATAAAAATAAAAGAAATTATCCATTTAAAAAGAAACTGTCAAAATTTTATATAAATACTAATAAAACAAAGCTTGTATAATTTATGCAACTACACTGCATCGCAAAATTATTTGGACCTGTGTATTTTAAATAAAATTAAAAAGTATTAAAAAACTTAAATTTCAATAAAAAAATTTTTATTGTATGTTCAATAACAAACCCTAAAATAAAAAACAAGTTTTAAAATATTGATTAATTTAACAACAAATAAAAATTTTTAACATTTTTGTATTCCGGAGTACACAATTACCGGATAATTTTTTTTTATTGAAATCATGAAATAATTCTTAAAATTTGAATATTAAAACCGAGTATTCTCTCCTCGAGCTCGAATAACAGCTCTCATCCTTTCTGGCATAGACTGGACCACAGCAGCAATCTCGTTTTGCGGTATTTGTTCCCACTTATTTACCAGCGCCTGTTCTAAAGCTACCACAGTTTTAAACTCGCCATCATTTTGTCTAAGTCTCCTCAAGTTGTCCCAAATGCTTTATGGGGTTAAGGTCTGGGCTTCTAGGAGGCCAGACTAGTATCAGAATACCAACATCTGCAAAGTATTGCATAGTTACCCTGACTATGTGCGGCCGAGCACATGTTTTTCCAGACATTCCATAATATACCAATCAGCATCAAGGCCAGCTCCCCCTAACATAACAAGATCTGTATGTACTTCCAAAAAAATGCTGCCTAATACCATTGCACCTCCATTACCAAACTGTACTCTAGGAGAGAAACAACATTGGGCATAGCGTTCTCCAAGCCTTCTTCATACTCTTTGGCGACCATCAGATGAGAATCAAGTAAAAAGAGGCTCATCTGTAAAAAAAAACGTTTTGCCAGTCTTCCATATCGCAATCTGCATGAGCACGAGTACAGTATCAGGTAAAACTACGGTTCCATGAACATCTGCCAGTCTCCTGGTCAAATCTCTAGCATTAACTGTCCGCTCTCGAAGCACTTAAAGTCTCAGAAATCGATCTTCAACGGCGTTTGTTACCCTTGGTCTTGCCTGTTTAGGTCTTCTAGAGTAAGAACCAGTTTTTCTAAATCTTCGTAAAGCATCAGATATTGTACTTTGCGGAACGGTAAGCATTTCTTCGATATAACGAATGGAACGACCATCATTATGTAAGGCAACAGCTTGCGCTTCTTGATCTGGCCTCATATTAAATTATTCTTGATAAAATCACTTTTCTTTCCAGAAAAAGCAGCCAACCACCCACTAAAAAGGCATATAATCAATTTAACAAGCATTATTTTGTAAATAAATATTCGACTATCGAGACACCTTAACAAAAACTTTCTTTTCAGCTACAAGAAATTACATACTTAAATATAGTTTAAAAAAACTAAAAAAAAAAAAACGCTTTTAGAGCATATCAAACTAAAAAGTTAAAAATAATTTTTCAAATAAGCTTAAAACAATAATAAATGGAAAATACTAAGTTGAAATTGCTGAAAAAAAAAACATTTATTTTTTTTTCAGCCGTGGACGGGATTAGAACCCACGATCAGTGAGTCCAACGATCCCAAGACCCGCGCCTTAGACCGCTCGGCCAACGAACGAACTTGATGTAGGGTGATATACTGACAGTAATAAGCCACTTGCTTTTAGTCCAAAAGTTACAAACATACATACATACATACATACATACAGGTGAAGCTAATAAAAGCGTGTTAAAAACGAATGGATAAAGGAAACTTATATTTTGAAAAAAATATTTTATTATTATACAGAGCAATTTAACAAAACTAAAAGGAGAAAACTTTAAAATTTTACGTTTCCGGTTAATTTTGCGGTGCAGATATTAAAAAAAAATCAATTTCATCCGATTACCTTGCCTTTAGACTTTTATAAAATCACAACAATAATATTGCTCTATTTCACAGATTTCTATTATTTCAATATATATTGCCAAAAGTAAAACAGGCATATAAATAATTGCAAACTATCTTAATGCTATAGTTTTATGTCACATAACACATAACGCTTACCATAACTGTTAATCATATCTACAAGCGCTTTTTCTTTAACCCAAGTGGCATACATGTAAGTCACAAATGCTATGCTTCCTAAGTAAAGATAGAGGTAGAATCCTTGGTAATAGAAGGGTGTAATATTTCTTGAAATAACTTGTATTATTGGAAATGCCATTCCCAATACCACCAGTAGTTTTGCATATAGAGCCGATAATATAATAGACAGAGCATCACTAAAACACAAATCATTGTTACATAAAAAAAGTTTTTAAACTGATAGAATGAGTAGTCCGGGATCCGTAAGTAGTGTCGACCTTCACACATCTGTTTAATGGATAAAAGTTTTTTTTTTATTAAATAAAATATGTATTTAAATATACCGCAAATAGGTTGCCTAGGAAAATATGGTCACGGCCATTTTTTACTTTCCTTTCTGTGTACAGATAAGAAAAGTATAGGAATCATGATAAAATTTGCTTATGATGTCATTCTCTATTATTTTGTTCCTATACATGATTTCCCTAAAACGGATAAAGAGATAGACATCAAATTTTAAACTTAAGCTTCAATCCATCCTAAGGTGAGCTGTTTAAAGTTTAGGTATAGTCAAAGCATCTGGATAATACTTTACAGGGTGTCGTTTTTTTTTACTTTAAGAAAATAAATAGTCTGGACCGTATTTTGTTAGGCAACCCATTTGCGGTATATTTATAAACATATTTTATAAAAATAAACTTTCATCCATTAAACATATGGGTGAAGGTTGACCTTATTTCGGATCTTAGACTAGAGTGTGAGATTAGGGAGTTGGTGAAAGGATTGTGGTCAACTTCACCAGTTCTCTACTGTGTTCATACAGAAGGTATATTAAAGTAAAATACAGCTCTTTAAGGAATGTTAGGCTTAAATAAAACTGGTCTTGGTCAAAAAAATGAAGAATAGGTATATACTATGTTACTATATGTATATATAAACTAAAATTGGGGTTTTTCCAGGTTTTCTTCACAAGCAAAACAAGTGGTAACATTAAGTTGCCCCGAAGCACCAATTTAAATTATAATCAGTTATAGGGAGATTTTTACTATTATTATTATTGGTATTGACAACGGTATCTACCGTACGCAGATGATCTAGATTTACATGACAATCTCGGCAAAATGAACGTGTGTGAAGTTAGCATCTCAAATCTCAACATCTCATATTTTAAGCAGAGTTCTTAGGGCATCCGATATAGTTCTATAGTTCCTGATACTTTTTATCAATAGTTCTTTCGAATTTAGTACCGAAAAATGCAATTTAAAAAATGAGATGCTAACGACCAGAAGTTAGCATTCCAATATAACAAATGAAATAAAATAAGAAAAAGCAGACGGTAACTCGATAGTTTACGAATAGTTCTAGAGTTCTTGTTCATTTGTATGGCTAAATTATTTTATTTATAGCTCTGGCACTCTTAAAATATTTATAAATACTTATTATACATATGAAGTCTAGACGATAGTAAAATGCTGCCATATTTATTTATTTGTTTATTTATTTATTTATTTGTTACACCACCCAACAGTAATCACCATTTACTGGGTGGGAAGGACAAAAAAAACATTAAAATATAAATACAAATACAAAATTGTTAAAAAGCTGTGCAATACAATGTAAACATCCAGAAATAAAAACTGACCGAACACAAGATAAAAAAAATGGTTGTCTACATTGCATTACATACTGTACATAATTTTTTTTACATTGTTAAAGAAAAAACATTTTTAATCCTATGTTTTTTACATGCAAAAATGTCCAAGCTGTCTTGAATTTTATGATATTTCTGAATAGATTGGTACATTGGAGATGAGTTCAAAACATTAGTTCTAGAAGCAGGCATGTAGAAACTCAAATAAACTCTTAATCCAACACGGGGGATTTTTAGATTGACGTAATTTAACAAATCAATACTGTCGACTGAGCCAGTTAAAAGATTATAAAGTAGGAGTACCTGTTGGAAATTTCTGCGTATCACGAGCTCTGAAAGATTGAATCTAGATATTAGTAAAGCGTTGGGAAATCCCTTTGCAGGGTATATACCATCTAAAACATAGGAAGCCGATTTCATGAATTTTTCGAACTTTTTCGAGTAAGTCAGTATAAATGTTATGCACGGGATTCCAAACAACAGAACAGTATTCAAGTTTTGACCGTACAAAGCTAATATATAGAGTTTTTAAGGTGACTATGTTTCGGAATTCTTTACAGCTTCGAATAACAAACCCTAAGCTCTTGTTAGCAGCAGATAACATCGTTTCAATGTGTTTAACGAAAGATAGTTCAGGATCAAAATAAACTCCGAGATCTCTTATACATTCGGGTCGATTTAGAACAATGTTCTGTAGTTTGTAATCAAAAATTATAGGTGTTACTTTTTTAGTAAAGGACATTACGGAACATTTCTCAGGATTTAGAGAGAGTGAATTATCGAGACACCACTTCGCAATGTCGGACAAACACTTTTGAAGTCGCAAGCAATGGTTAACAGAATTGATTTCAAGCAATAATTTTAGGTCTTCGGCATACATTAAAACTTTAATATGCTCAATATTAGCGACTATATCATTTATAAAAATTATAAATAAAAGAGGATCTAAAATTAATCCCTGTGGAACTCCTGATGTTTGTTCGAAATTTGTTGACCTGTTACCACGACATTGAACATATTGATGCCTACACAATAAATACGAATCAATCAATTGAATGATTTGATCGCATAAACCAATGGAACTTAACTTGTGGAGCAAGATGGAATGATCAATTTTGTCGAAGGCCTTGGAGAAATCTGTGTATATTACATCAACTTGACTTCTTCTATCCAAGGCTTCCAAAATGAATTGCGTCGTACATACAAGGTTTGTAACTGTAGATCTATTTTTCATGAATCCATGTTGGTCATAAGATATAAGACGGGAAACAAGATTGGAAATACGATCGTGAGTAATTATTTCGAATACTTTAGCAAAATTGCAAAGAATGCTTATGAGCCGATAATTACAAACATTATTTTTGCTACCTTTTTTATGTATCGGAGTAATTCTGGAAATTTTCCAGGCAGTAGGGAAAATACATGTTTTCAAAATTAAATCAAAAATATGTTTCAACGGAGCCAAAATTAGTGCACAGTCTCTGACAAGAAACGAAGGAATTAAGGTCAGTACCCATTGACATATTGGGCTTAAGATTTTTTAGGGCTCTAATAACTTCATCTTGAGATACAGAATTAAAGTGAAGCAGAGGTAAATTAATGGTAGATTCGTGGATGAAGTGATTTATTTGAGTTGGCGTGGAGAAATTGCTGGAAAAATGATCTGCAAAAGCTTGAACAATTGCCTGTAGATCTTCTATACAGTCATTATTATATTCAACAGTAGTGGGTATGGAATAGAAAGAATTTTTAGAATTTATGTATGACCAAAATTGTTTTGGATCATTTTGAATATTATTTTCAATTGACCTTAAATATGAGGAGTGAGCTATAAAAATGTCTTGTTTAATTTGGTCTCGAATGTTCTTAAATTTAGTAAATGTATCTATGGAATAAGCGGATTTGTAGGTTTTTTGGGCATTTTCTTTTTCACGAATCATGTGTATTATATGACCAAATTATACTGCACGTGGTCTGGTTTACACTGTAAGCTCTTAACTCTAATATTAATGGGACATCAATACACAAAGAGGGGTGATATTCATCTTCATCTAAGACTACTTCATCGGCTTTATGTACGTGACATGCTGAATTGGAAAAAACTAAGTCAAGCAGACGATGATATGTATTTTCTATCAAATTGAATTGATTTAAGTTAAAAAAATTCGCAAATGATTGTACGACGTTTAATCTAGGCGAGCAACTAGAATTGTTTATTTGAGAAATATACTCTGGCACATTGAAATCTCCTAGTACTAGAAGATCATTATCATGAAGAATATTTAGTAATGATATAGCCTCGAACACAGCCTCATAGTCATCAGTAGAACAAGCTGGCGGTATGTATATGAGTAAAATAAAGGTACACTGATGGTGAGGTTTAATTTTTACAAGAATAAAATCAATTTTGTTTATTGGCATAGAGCCACAAACTTTAGATGTATCAATCAAAACTGCATTTTATTCTTTTTTAAGGCACAAAGAACTCCTCCATCCTTGAAGTTTGGTTAACTCGTAATCTCGATCAACCCTATCAAACACTGCAAGATCAAATAGCTCAGCATTATTTATGGTACTTTTACACCAACTTTCTGTAAAGAAGTAGCCCGCATACTGTGTAGCAGCAGAAACATTCTTAATTACAATGCTTTTAAATGATAACTTAAATTTCTCTGTATTGAGAACCGAAGAGTTTTAGCATATTTAGCACTTTTTTTGAAAATAAAATTTTAATAATAAATAGAAATTATAGACTATAATGATATGCTGTCATATTATGTCGAGTTAAAAACATACAATGCTTTTAAATCATAACTTGACTCTCTTTCCCTTTAGACCCGAAGAGTTCTAGCCTTTAGCACATTTGCAATAATTTTATTTATAAATAACGAACAAAAATTATAGACAATAGTAAGATGCTAGCACATTATGAAAAGTTATAGGATATATAATATATGATAACAATTTTCTTTGCATTGAGACACAAAGAATTCTAGCTTCTAGCACTTTTTCAATAATTTTAAGTATTAATATATCAACAAACCAAAATTGTGGACTATGGTGAGATTCTGTCATATTATGGGTCTCAACGCAGAGGGAATCAAGATATCATTTAGAGGCATTATATATTTTAGAACTTGTCATAATGTGCCAGCATCTCAATTTAGTTTATAATTTCTGTTTGTTAATATTACATACAATTATTGAAAAAGTGCTAGAGGCTAGAACACTTCCAGTCTAAATGCAGAAAGAGTTAAGTTATTATTTAGAAGCATAGTATATTCTAGAACTAGTCATAATATGACGGCTTCTCATTATAGTCTATAATTTCTGGTTATGATTAAAACCTAAAATTTTTCAAAAAGTGCTAGAAGCTAGAACTCTTCGCGACTCCACGCAGAGATAGTCTAGTTATCATTTAAGATCGATATACAGGGTGACACATAACTATTGGGACATAATCTAAGGTCAGATTATTTGGAGCAAAATATGGCGATAGGGCCAAATATACCTTAATAAAATATTGTTGTGGAATAAAATACAGGGTGATAAATAATAATAATAGTAATAATAATAGACTATAATTAAACAGCAAAAATAATTCACTGTCAAGAAATTACATGTACCAAACACAATTATCTGACACTCCAAAGCACACTATTCATATGTGAAATATTTTTTTAACTCCCCATTTGAGACTTGTGAGCTGCTCAATTGCGTTTTTCTCGAAAACGGGTAAAATTATCGTGTTGAAACAAAAGTACCAATATTACGTAGAAATGACGTTTACATCATATTTTCCAATCAAACATACGAATAAGTTTTGTCAAAAAAAGCTACCACTTAATTTCATCATTAGTAATCATTCAAGTGGCGCCCCCCGTAACAAAATGAGAAATTATACATAAAATATTATCCCCTGTCCAAAGATATGCCTCTGTGCCGATTTTGATAACAATTCATTAATATACAATAAAACGAAAAAAAAATTCAACTTTAACGCCCTGTATCTTATTCCATAGCAATATTTTATTAAGGTATATTTGGCCCTGTCATCCTATTTTTGTACAAATAACCTGCCCTTGGCCAATTTACCAATAGTTATGAATCACCCTGTATATTCCAGAACTCGTCAGAGTGTGCCAGCATCTCACTATAGTATATAATTTCTGTTTATTATTACTACTTACAATTATTGAAAAAGTGCTAGAGGCTAGATCTATTTGGGTCTCAATGCAAAGAGGGTCTAGATATCATTTTGAGGCATTATATGTTCTATAACTCGTCATAATATGACAGCATCTCACTATAGTCTATAATTTCTGTTTACTATTAATACTTAAAATTATTCAAAAAGTGTTTGAAGCTAGAACTCTTCACGACTTTATGCAGATATAGTCTGCTTATCATTTAATAGCGTTATATATTCCAGAACTAGTCATAAAGTGACAGCATCTCACTATGGTATATAATTTCTGTATATTATTATTACATACAATTATTGAAAAAGTGCTAGTGGCTAGAACTCTTTGGGTTTCAATGCAGAGGGGCTCAAGGTATTATATAGAGGCACTATCCATTCTAAAACTCGCCACAATATGACAGCATCTCACTATAGTCTATAATTGTTGTTTATTATTAATACAATTATTCAAAATGTGCTAGACGCTCGAACTCTTTGGGTCTCAATGAAAAGAGATTCAAGTAATCATTTAGAAGCATTATATATTTAATAACTCGTCATAATATAACAACTTCTCACTATAGTATATAATTTGTTTACTATTACTATTTAAAATTATTCAAAAAGTGCAAGAGTCTAGAACTCTTCGCAACTTTATGCATATATAGTCTACTTATCATTTAAAAGCGTTATGTATTTCAAAACTCGTCATATTGTGCCAGCATCTCGCTATGGTATACAATTTCTGTTCATTATTATTACTTACAATTATTGAAAAAGTGCTAGAGGCTAGAACTCTTTGGGTCTCATCGCAGAGGAGTCAATGTATCATTTAGAGGCATTATATATTTTAGAACTCATCATAATGTGCCAGCATCTCACTTTGATCCATAATTTCTGTTTGTTATTATTACGTACTATTATTGAAAAAGTGCTAGAAGCTAGAAATCTTTGGGAATCAATGGAAAGGCGGTCAAAATATCATTTAAATACATTATATGTTCTATAAATCGTCATAATATGACAGCATCTCAATATAGTCTATAATTTCTGTTTATTAATAATACTTAAAATTATTTAAAAATGCTAAAGGCTAGAACTTTTCGCGACTTCATGCAGAGATAGTCTAGTTATCATTTAAAAGCGTTATAAATCTCAGAACTCGTTATAATGTGCCAGCATCTCACTATAGTCTATAATTTCTGTTAATTATTTATAATTAAAGTTATTCAAAAAGTGCTTGAGGATAGAACTCTTCCAGATTCTATGCATAGATAGTCTATATGTCATTTAAAAGCGTTATACAGGGTGTTAAAAAAAAAGTGTCACAAAATAAAACGGGAGGTAGTATGGGCCAAAATATGCAGAAAAGTCTTAATAAACATATGTCCGCAAATGAATGGTTTCAGAGATACGGAGTGTTTTGTGTTTTGTATCATTTTTTGATTATCTTTTTTCATTCTCAAAAACTTGCTTTTCTTATCGGAGTGTACCGATGTTTTTTCATAGATACTATTTGCAGTTATTATTTTGTTGTGGGTGAATAATTTTATAAATTTTCGTTATGCCTGTTTACACTAATATTGAATTAGCTGACATGCATTTTATGTACGGTCGTGCAAATGGCAATGCATTGAAATGGAGGGAGGGCACTTTGAACATCTCATTTAACTCTATGTTGTTATTGATTGTTTATAAATATCATTGTTTTTTTATAATAATAAAAAATTGTTATAAACACAAAATGGTCCGTATCTCCGAAACCGTTAATTTGCGGTCATATATTTATTAAGACTTTTCTGCTTATTTTGGGTCATACTATTCACCATTTCATTTTGTGACACTTTTTTTTTAACACCATATATAGTCTATAACTCGTCATAATGAGCCAGTATTTCACCATGGCCTATAATTTATGTTACATTAAATTATTGAAAACGTGCTATAGGCTAGAAATCTTTGGGTCTTGATGCAGAAAGAGTCAAGTTATTATTTGGAGGCATTGTATATTTTAGATCTCGTTATAATATGAGATAATCTCACTATAGTCTATAATATTTGTTAATTATTAAATAATTAAAATTATTAAAAAAGTGTTAGTTTAGAACTCTTTGGGTCTTAATGGAAAAAAAATTATGTTATCATTAAGAAGCCTTAAATATTCTAGAACTCGTTATAATACGACAGCATCTCACTATAGTCTATAATTTTTGTTTAATATTATATTATTACTTAAAATTATTGACAAAGTGCTAGAGGCTAGAGTTATTTGGGTCTCGATGTAAATAGAATGATGTTATCATTTAGAATCATTATATATTCTATAACTTGTCAAAATGTGCTAGCATCTCACTATGGCCTATAATTTATGTTTGTTATTTATATATTAAATTATTGAAAACGTGCTAGAGGATAGAACTCTTCGGGTTTAAAGGAAGAAAGAGTCAAGTTTTGATTTAGAAACATTGTGTATTCTAGAATTCGACGTAACATGACAACATCTCACTATAGTCTCTAATTTCTGTTTGTTATTAATACTTAAATTTATTCAAAAAGTTTTAGAGGCTAGAACTCTTCGGAATTCCATGCAGAGAGAGCCAAGTAATTATTTAGAAGCATTGTGTTTTAGGAGCAATATGTGTTCTAGAAGTTGTCACAATATGACAGTATTTTACTATCGCCTAGAATTTATATGTATAATCAATATTTATAATTATTTTAAGAGTACCTGAGCTAAAAATTAAAATAATTGAGCTATTTAAATGAACAAGATTTCTAGAACTCTTCGTAAACTATCGATTAACAGTCTGCTTTTTTTAATTTTATTTCATTTATTATATTGGGATGCTAACTTTTGGTCGTTAGCATCTCATTTTATAAATTGCATTTTTCGGTACTAAATTCGACAGAACTATTGATAGAAAGTATCTGGAACTATAGAACTATATCGGATACCATAAGAACTCCGCTCAAAATATGAGATGCTAAGATTTGATATGCTAACTTCACACATCCGCAAAATGATTATTATTAGGAAAACAAAAAGAAAATAAAAAAGGACGATAATACATATATAGTAGGATTTAAATAACCTCTTTGGTGCATTATACTTACTTTCCATGTTTTCTGTTTCTTTTAATTTTTCTTTGTTCCCTTACATCTATATCCTCTTTTCTTGTTATTTCACTGGGATCGTTAAATAACCTATAAAAGATAAATTTAGTATTAATCGAAAAGGTCATATTTTATAAAAACGTTTATTGTTGTAAAAAAAAAAATCCGAAATCATTTGTTTTAATTTTTCTTATAAAAATTTATCATCCGGCATAATTTTTAAAGGTAATTATTCCGGAAGACAGGGATCTTTTTGACTGTATGGCAATAAACTAAATAAAAAATAAACCTGAAATTAAAAAAAAATATTGCATGTTTACTATTTTTATTTTATTAAAGTGCAACATGGACATATTTTGGTTAATGTTATGTAATGCATTGATTACCTACTAATAAAATTATCCTTTAACACTTTACAAAACGTAACAGTTTTTATCTTACTAGAGGGCACAAAAACAAAAGTATCGCAATGGAAAATCATATTGCTAAATTGACCAAAAAATTATCTTCTCAATGAAATGCGTTAGGACCCCTCATGCTATAGATAACAATTAAAGGTGTTGCTGTCACCTGAATCGAAGGTCATAGGAATACCAAAACATTGATACTGGCGGATACTTCAAGAAGTGTAAAAGTCGATGTGTAAGCATTTTTTTCTACTCTTTTAAACAAACGGGTTGAAAAAATGGTAAGTCTTAATTCTCTCACAGTATAGTCTAGTTCGATATTTGAAACTAGAATAAAGATGTATAGTGCTTTGAATTCTATATTAAACTCTTCACAGTTACCTCTCCCGCTTAATCCCTCATTTTTATTTAGATTTTTTTTTTCAGAATCAATAGGCTTCATCAACTTATAAAGCTCAATTTTTCCTAAAAATTTTAATTTGATGTCGTGTTTCATTCAGATTTCTTTTAGAATCAATAGGCTTCATTCCCTTATCGATCTTGATTTTTTACTAAAAATCCATGTTGATATATCACTTTTGGTGTGTGAGTTCTATTTTTTTTGATATTTTAACCCCCCCTTAAACCTCCATTTTGTTCCTAATAGACTTTGTCCTCTTATAGAGCTTGATTTCTGCTAAAAATTTCAAGTTTTTATGTTTTTTAATTTTTTTAAATATTTGAACTCCCCTTACCTTCTCATTTTTATTCCGATATTTTCAATATCGAATATTCGATATTCCCATGAAGAGTTTTATTTTTACTAAAAATATAATGCTGAAATCGCTTTTAATTTTTGATTTATAATTTTTGTTTTAAACCTGTCTTAAACCCCCCAGTTTTAATAAGATTTTATTTAAAATGAAAAAGCATTTTCCCCTCATAAGGCATGATTTTTGCTAAACATTTCAAGTTTATCTTTTCCGTTTTAAAGTTAAGATTTTTTTAACCTTCCTCAACCCCCTATTTAAATTCCGATTTTTTTTTTAATAATAGGCATCTTCTTATAGAGCTTGATTTTTATTAAAAATTTCCTGTTGATATTCTTTTTCGTTTTTGATTTACGATTGTTATTAACCCCCCTTAACCCCCATTTTTATTCTTATTTTTTCAAAATCAATAGCCTCTGTCTCCTTTCAGAGTTTGTTCTTCGCAAAACAAGTTATTATCATTTTTAATATTTCAACCACCACTTAACATCCATTTTTATACAGATTTTTTTCAGAATCAATTGGCTTTGTCCTCTTATAGGGCTTGATTTTTACAAAAATTTCATGTTGATATCGCTTTTCGCTTTACGGTTTTAATTTATGATATTTTTTAATTTCACCCCCCTTAACCCACCATTCTTAATCATATTTTTTTTATATTAATAGGATTTGTTCGCTTAGAGAGTTTGATTTTTGGTAAATATTTCAAGTTATTATCAATTTTCGTTTTCGAGTTAGGATTTTTTAAATATTTCAACGCCGCTTAACCCCATTTTAAATTAGATTTGTTTCAGAATAAATAGGCTTCATCCCCTTTTAAACCTTGATTTTTCCTAAAGATTTTAATTTGACATCGTTTTTTGTTTTAAAGTTAAAAAAATTCAATATTTCATCCCCTCTATACCCCATTTTTATTATTTTTTCAGAATCAGTAGGCTTTATTCCCCTATAGAGCTTGATTTTTCCTAAAAGTTTTGTTCTGATATCGATTTTTATTTTTGATTTATATATTTTTTTATTTGAACCACCCCTTTAAACCTCCATTTTTATTAAACTTTTTTCAAAATCAATAGGCTTTATATTCTTATAGAGCTTGAGTTTTACATAAAATTTTATGTTGATATCGCTGTTCGTTCTTGATTTAAGATTTTTTTTTTTTAATTTCTACCGCTCCTTAATGACCAATTTTTAATCGTATTTTGTTTTTTAATTAATAAGCTTTGTCCCCTTATAGAGGCTGGTTTTTGCTAAAAATTTCAAGTTGCTAGCATTTTTTGTTTTTAATATTTAATCCCCCCTTAACCCCTTAATTTTTCAAATTCAATAGCTTAAAGAGCTTAAAGAGCTTGATTTTTCCTTAAATTTTTAAATTGATATATTCTTCGTTTTTGACTTATCGTGCGAACAAAAACGTGACATCCACGGACGGACGGATGGACGGACGGACGGACGGACGGACGGACGCACGGACGGACGGACGGACGGACGGACGGACGGACGGACGGAACCGAATACATAATATTCTTTACAGTCTACTGTGAGAGTATAATATTGCAAAATGGAGAAAATGAAGATGTATTAAAATATAAAACTCCTGTTTTATAAAAAAAAGTTTCACTGCCCCTCTCCACCCCCTACTATATGAAGGTATAGCAAAAAATGCACCCACTGAGATTCGATGACACTGGTTTAAAGAAACGATGACAAGAGATAACCGTCGTAGCCAACCCAACAATTGTATCTTAGTTGGGGCGAGGATAAGAGATATATAGAAAATAAGTTGTTTGGTAAGTTACTCTATTTATCCAACACATAACAGTTGTGACTGTCACTATTGATGTGATTTTAGACAAGTAAACTATCAAATAACACACTAGTGTGTTATAATCCATCTCACTAGTCACATTAATATTGAAATTAAAGGAAAACGCTAACGGTGTATTCGAATTTAAAGTCATTGTAAAATTCGTTTCAAAAACATTGCAATTCTTGAAGGTATCTTCGACAATGTATTTATTCCCACGTACTGGCTGGTACACGTCCTATTTTTGTAAAAAACAAAAAAGTGGCTAGAACTAGTATTAGTTGGTCTCAAAGACATGTATTTTTTACACAAATTGATCGGGTTGACTGGAAATCCTTCTTCAAGTATGGTGAAACTTCTCGATTTCTTGGTTTTAGTGTCTGGCAAAACTACGTAAAAATATTTCCCTTTGTCTTAAATATTTTCTATTTTCAAATTAACAAAATCATCGCATCTACAAGCCACTTTCATCAACAAATACTCTTCGTCGGAGCTTCGTTCAAAAACTTCTCTATTTCAGGTCGTTCTAATGTCACGGACTTGTTTGGTTTGTATCCCTGTGATTTGCTTTTCAAGAAGCTCGTTAATTAGTCATATTTTGATATGTCGATTTTTTATAAATGTGAATAGTCAAGCGAAGCATCGAGTATGTGGGACCTGGCCCTTCCATTGGACTAACAACATGGGTAGTGAAAAACCTAATTAAAGAACATTCTCTTGTGAAATTAAAGGAAAGATAGGATGAAACAGAAAGCTGCCGACTTATCAGGTATCTTTTAAGTTATCCTGACATCACTACAGCATACAAATACTTGACTGTAACTAGACAAAATCTGTGCCTGATCACATGCATTCTGACTGGACATTGTCAACTACGGAAGCATCTCCATTACGCATATTCTCTATGATTGCCCGACGCTCTCATTTATTAGAAGACTTCTGTTCGACTAGAATTGGCTAAAACCGGTTGATATAAGAGAAGCACCTCTTGTCGACGTTGTCAACTACAATAAATTTGTAGACTGGCTCACGAGCTAGGAGATACCTATCTACTTAGAAGGATTCTCAAAGGGCCTAGTGAGGCTCAAGTGCTGTGGGTTAGCTCACCCGTACCAATTTCTATATGTAACTTTTAAAAAAACATTTTTTATTTTAATAAAATAATATAGTTATAATTTTATGAGTTAGCTTTGGTCACAGATATTGGATGGATAATAATTAATTAGCTCCAACCTTTAATAAAATATACCTGTAAAACAAACCAAATTGGTTGTTATCCACTATTGAACAACTCCCTTAAGTACCTTAAGTCAAATTTAGTTTAAATGAATCTTAATGTGATGTGCGAGTTCCCTAACCTAAAAATTAATAATTTTAACCAGGCTTTGGGAGACAGAATACCGTTTTTGATTAAAAAATTAATAGACGGTCAAAAGTTGCATTTTTAAAGGTCTTTAAATTTAAAAGGATTTTACAGAATAGACCCCATAATAAACTATCAATTAAACATTAGTATGAAAATACATTGATAAAGTAATAGGTTTATTGCTACATAACCTACAACTTTAACATCACTGAATGTTAAATAAATTTTAATTTACACAAAAAGTTTAAAATTTAATATAGTTAGTTATTTATATTTAAATAAGGACTCTGACGATGCTATAATATATTCATAATGGCTGATAACTCGGTAGGTAAATAGTAGCAGTTTTATTTTATTTCAATTTTAATAAAAAAAAAAAAATTTTAAGTAAACTTATTTAAAAACTTACTCTGCAAATGCAACAATATTAAATTCGTTCACCTCCATGTCATCAACATAACTACGTTACATCTATTATTACTAAAAAAACCGGTTTAATTATCTAATTTACCTATAATTATTCAAAATAAAACAGCAAATCAATTTAAAAAATTATCGTCTCTGTAATATTGATTATTGATGAGGACAGAGCGTTCTTACCTGAGCATATTTTGCATTGTATTTTGGAGGTTGTTTGGTTGTATAATATACACAAACATTTCACAATAGGATGATCCATAGAAGATTGGCTCACGATTTAATTTTGCAGTACTAGCGAACGAAACAAGTTTTATAGTCGTAAAGATATAATAAAAGATTTAAAC